GGGGGGGGGGGGGGGGGGGCCCGAGATGAGAAGTTGCTGGGTGTTCAACGTTTGCGTGCATAGCTGGCGGAGTCACCGAGGCCATGGTTTGTTGTGTGCTGCCCCCGCAGCAGGATGTTGCCGAAAGGCCGCGCGGAGCTCGCACCGTAGCTAGAGTCGAAGAATCAGAGGGTTGTGCAGAAACTTCAGCAAAAAGCCGTCGAACATCGATGAGTCAAAGCGGTCTGAAAAAGAGCAACGGTACATCCGAAATTCGCTGTCTGGGAGGCCGCTGACGAATTGGGAGTCTTTCAGGCCCGACCCCCCCAGCCGATGTGGGGCACCACGCCGAAGTATTGACATGTTTTGCATGTGCAGGCAGAGAGCCGGGGTCGTACCACCCGTGCTAGAAGACCAGGATGACAAGCTGCACTGCTTCGAGTCAGGCTCAGCGCAGACCCGCTTAGTTGGTTAAGGACTGCCGTAGTGTGCCTTGAGGCCTGCTGGAGGGATTGCAGTACCGCCAGTATGGCAGTGTGCTCCTTCCCCGACCGCTCACTCGAAAAGTGCTGGAGGGTGTGAGGCGCGGCCTCGCAGATATCCAAACCTCTTTTGTCTGCGTGGCCCTGTCTCAGGACCGTGCAGCTCCGAGCCCAGGACACGCTAATATGCTTGCCTCCGGAGCTGGCCGGACACAACCTTCAGATAGAGGAGTGCCAGCGTGCTCGCCATTGCTCGCCGCGTCTGCGCCTTTGTGTGTTTGCAGTGTTCGCAAGGAGTCTCTGTTCCAACTCGCGGAGAACCGCTGCGATGAAGGGGCCCTAGACTTTAAACCGGCGTAGCCAGGCGTTCTGAAGGTCTGGGACAGATGCTGCCCGGCTGTCTGAGGTTGCGCAAACAATGATTCCTTTTGGCCCATATGGAATGCGCATCCCTCCACTGGAGGCCAAGACAAGACTCGTCATGGGAATCACTGGCAGTAACTGCGCTAGACGAGGGATGCAAACCGCGTGTCTTGCAGGGAAAGGTCTCCCTCGGGCTCCTTCCCCCGCAAACCTCTCCTGCTCGACGGCAATGCTGCGTTGTCGCAATGGTTGTTTGAAGGAATGCGGCAGCGTTACCTGGCACCCTGTCTGATGCGTAGACCCATAAGCGGTGCAGGCAGCTCCGGAAGCTAAGGTCATTGGACGTTTGTGCAGCCTGCAATGCTACCTCATGATGCGGATAACAAGTTGTCCATCGGTGGCAAAGTGGTTGTCCTCCTGGCTGATCCGCGCTATGTGCTATTCAGGCATGTTCAGACTTTTCGTTCTCGCACGTGTGTGTGTGTGTGTGTGTGTTTGCTCCCAGCTCTTGCTGTGCGTGCCACGCAGGCATCGCGATCTGTGGAATCGTGTGCGATGGATGAGTACGCCCGCTGAAGATGCCTTCTATCCGAAGCACTTCGACTTTGGCTGCTTGGCTTCGTGGAGCTTCGATGAGGTTGCAGTCAGCTCGCAGTCTTGGGAACTGACATGCTGTTCAGCTGTGCTTGCTGGAGAGGTGCTGCATTGGAGCATTATTTCGAATCGGACTGCCACTTCGGAGGTGCCTCCTCATGCCGTCCTTGTATCGCAGTCAGTTTTGCATAACTTCTAACTAACTATCGCATCCACTCGCCTGTGCCAATGCCGACTGCCGACTTTGCAGGCCACGTCATGGATCGCTATCGTGACTGGATGATGGAACAGCAGCGCGCTCCACACAAAGTGACGCTCAGTGAAGTTTTGCATGCACTACTACCTTACCCATGATTCTAGCACGTGTCGGAGAGCTTGTCCGTCTCATGGAGCCGCATGGTATCGTACTGTTGACGACCAGGAAGATCATCTTTCTCGAAGATCTCGTGCGAGATTCCGAAGTTGTTGTAAAAGGCCTGGCCCAATTCCTGGAGGCGCATCGGGTCTCTGCCGAAGGGCTCTTCTGTTGGGCGTTGCGGCGTTGGGACCTATTTAAATAAGATTGCAGGTCGTGTTCGGCTACAGCTGCAGTGAACCAAGCGATCGCTTCAACGTTCCTTCACCAATCCACAACGGACAGCAGCAGGTGGACGATCCTCGAGTGCCCGCGTCTGTGATTTCTTCGCGCCTCATGCGGAATTTAGCACGTGTGGAGTGTTGCCACCGGCAGAGCCCGTGAGCAAGCCCCGACTGAAGCCTCACGACTGCTTGTACCTAGCGTGTCTTGCAAGAGAGTTGCAAAAGCATTGATCGTACCGGTCGGCGGTATCACTAGTAATACTCTACTACCACGACGACTTCTACTAAACTACTACACTACGACACCACTGCGCTACTCACTACTTTACGACTAGTACTGCTACTGCTGCTGCTGCTACCACTACTACTACTACTACTACTACTACTGCTACTACTACCACTACTACTACTACTACTACTACTACTACTACTACTAACTGCTACTACTACTACTACTACTACTACT